GTTATATATGATTGCTGCCAAACAACAGGAAGGTAGCCCCATTTTCAACTCTCTGTACACATGTCCATCTCCACCGATGGCTGGCATTTTCATTATTCTATGTGTTTATAATTATATGCTTGGCGTTTCATGGGTAGTTTCTGGTTTACGAGGCGTTCCTGCAATCAAGGTTCGGGGTGAATGGCGCTTAGGGGGTTAACAAGGGCGTATGATTCTATGGGCTGAATGAGTCAATGCTATTCAGATGAAGTTGGGTGTCCTCTGATTCTGGATGTTGGAAGACTGTGCCTTGATAGCGGGAAAAGTTTGTAAATCTGGGAAGGATCTTTTGTACCACGATACCAGCTCACATCCTCCTCTTTGTCTGAGCTTGTTAGAACATATACCAAACAAGCGATGTATATTGTCCTATTTGAGCCCATGGCCCTTATGCTCTGCCTTATGATGAGAGACGAGACAGGGAAATGATTTCGAGAGATAAATCCACTCAGTTACCAATTGCTCTCCGAGGTATATTTCAAGTCACCAATGTGAAGCGTCTCGTAGCTATATATCCCCATTTGGACTGCCAATAGGCCCTTTAGCTCAGAACTGAGACCTCCATGGCCCGCTTCGAATATGGGCCATGCTGGGGTGAAAGCTCAAGTTACCAGAAAAGGAAATAATTAGAGAGGTTAAATCAGCTTTACTTTTGACATTCAACTCTCTCTATCCTTCCAAGCATCGTTCCACCACCCACCCCACGTTGTGCTATGCACTGTTTGGCCTCTTGTCCTGTCCCACTGACGTACCTGTCAGCGCGGTTAAGCCGAAAATGGCAGCAATTGGGCAGAATAATGAGAAGATTTACCGTTAGTTAGCGTTGACCAAGTACAAGAACAGTACAACATGGGTTAAACGACCAATGCGCTGTATCATGAGTCTATTTCACCGTTTACAGTGAGACAAAGCTGTCTAGGGTACCCAGTAATGCCTCAGCAACCTTGAAAGTCACCGCCTGATAATCATCTGGGGCCCCAATCGATGCCCAAAAAACGACAGTGCCATCACCAGGTTCTGGTTCTGTTTCTGTGTGGGCGTCAAATTTTTTACCCGCTAAAGCCATCCAATGGCTATGTCTCCACTAATACTTACGTCCGGGAGCTCTTACATTCGCAGGCGCGGACGCGGGTACCTGTACAACCGTGTACACCAGTTGCTCCAGAAGCAGGAATGGATGCACCTTTTTAAAAAGTCAAGACTCCCGCCTTTTTCTTCACCTCCACGAAACATCACCACTTCCTCCTTCGGCTCGTCGCTTGCATTTACGTCACGTCGAACCTTTTCTTGTTCCTCCTTCTACTCTTCCAACAACAAAATGTCTTCTGAGGAGATCACCCACCCTACCATCAAGGGTATGTTCTTCTTGCTGTTCATGTTATCTTTTTTTACTGCCCCACGTTATCCTGCCCCTCTCTCATGATAATGATCATCATGAACATGTCTGGTCACTCAATTCCTGGCGGTTTCTCTCAAGATTGAAGCCTATGAATTGATAATTGATTCTTACAAGATTTCGGGCTCAAATTCTTGAGCTTATCGCTATACAATGGCGATAGTCTCAGCTCTTCAATCCACGCTTCCCCTCCATACACCAAGATCTTCGCATGCACTCCAATTACCTCAGAGTTTTCATTTCTTGTCGGCAAAAGCTAACAGTCTCTTCAGATGGCTGGTTCCGAGAGATCTCGGACATGTGGCCCGGTAGGCACATACAATCCGTTCAGAAACGGCCTTCAATTCTTACCCTACCCAATAGGCCATGCCATGACCCTCCGCGTCGAGAAGGTCCTCGTCCACGAGAAGAGCAAGTACCAGGATGTCCTCATCTTCAAGTCCACCGACTTCGGCAACGTCCTGGTCCTCGACAACGTTATCCAGTGCACCGAGCGTGACGAGTTCTCCTACCAGGAGATGATCGCCCACCTCGCCCTCAACTCCCACCCCAACCCCAAGAAGGTTCTTGTCATTGGCGGTGGTGACGGCGGTGTTCTCCGTGAGATCGTCAAGCATGACTGCGTTGAAGAGGCCACCCTCTGCGACATCGACGAGGCTGTTGTCCGCCTCTCCAAGGAGCACCTCCCCTCCATGGCCTGCGGCTTCGACCACCCCAAGTCCAAGACCCACATTGGCGATGGCTTCAAGTTTCTCAACGACTACAAGAACGAGTTCGACGTCATCATCACTGACTCATCCGATCCCGATGGTCCCGCTGAGGCTCTCTTCCAGAAGAGCTACTTCCAGCTCCTCCACGATGCTCTCCGTGAGGGCGGTGTCATTACTACTCAAGGTTGTATGTTCCCTATTTTCTTGAGGAGAGTAACTGGCGTCCCTAGGAACGGCAGAATCGGGGAACCCTCCCGGATCAAAGTTGATCGCTGTGGCTGGGATCTCCCTCGATGGGTACATTTTGGTGCCGCTTCCCTCCTAGGGGCTCCCAGAAGCTAGTGCTGCTTTCCCAGCTCTGCTTCCGGTAGTCCCGCGATAGCATGCATTTCGTTTGTTGGTTAACGTGTGCCGCGTTCGTCCGTTCAGTTCTGCTGTTCCTGATCCGCCATGTTATTGTAGTATTGCATAGCAGTTTCTCCTGGGACTACACTAACTCGTTAACTTGCTTACAGCCGAGAGCCCCTGGCTTCACCTCCCCCTCATCACCCGCCTCAAGAAGGACTGCCAGGCTATCTTCCCCGTCGCCGAGTACGCCTACACCACCATCCCTACCTACCCCTCCGGTCAGATTGGCTTCATGGTCTGCTCCAAGGACCCCAAGGCCGATGTGAAGACACCTCTCCGATCCTGGACCAAGGAGGAGGAGGACGCCAAGTGCCGATACTACTCTGCTGACATCCACAAGGCCAGCTTCGTCCTTCCCAAGTTCGCCCAGAAGGCTCTTGAGTAAAGCTATTTACCATGTCGAGGATCTTTGGGCAGGATGGCTGGTTCTTTTATGAGTTTACGTAGGATAGGGATCAACGGAGATATAAAAAAGATGACCAAGGCGGTCACGAATAGATTAACACGGACGCAAAGGTATATATGTGTTCAAAAAGGAAAAGACTCTGGAGTTTTACTGCAAGTGGAGTCATGAAATAAAGGATTTTGATCCCTCGCTCAATATATCCTCCGTCATTGTCCCGTGATGCATTCCAATCTTGGCTTTCATATACCGCTCAAAGGGGTAGCAGTCTCAAGATTCAAGGCTCCTCAAACTGAATCTTGCCCTCGCTCACATCAGGGTATACATCAAACCTTCGTTGAGTGTTCAATGGAATGTTCTTTCTCGCTTCTGTAATCTTTTCAGGGTCGAGTTCCCAATCGACAGTGGTCTCCTTCTCATCTGCTTCAGCCTGAACCTGCGCCATTGGGTCGGCAACAAGACTGTGGCCGTAAGCAGGGTAGCCCGTCTCAGCGCGTGCGGGACTACAGAGAGCCACATAGAGCTGATTATCGGCAGCTCGAGCTCTACCGAGCAGTTGCCAGTGAAGAGGGCCGGTTGTGGTGTTGAAAGCACCAGGATAGATAAGAGCAAAGGCACCCTTTCGAGCTGCAATGGTGGCTAGTTCAGGGAAGCGAACGTCGTAGCAGATAGCAACAGCAATCTTGCCGTACTCGGGAAGATCAACAAGTGTCACCTTGTTACCAGGGCTGAGAATATCTGACTCGCGGAATGTGATCTTGCCAGGGATGTCGATATCAAAAAGATGCACCTTGCGATGTGTACCTAACAAGGCACCGTCGGGTCCAAAGATGAGAGTTGTGTTGTAGTACTTCTTCGTATTCGGGCTGTACTCTGGAATTGATCCACCAACGAGGTAGACTTTGTTATCGGCGGCCATTGCAGAGAGGGCGTGATAAGAGGGCGCAGCATCGTTAGATGGCGGACTAGGCTGTAGAGTCTCTGCGTATTGAGGGAAGTGATCTGTCCCATAAGGCGAGTTGAAGCATTCTGGCAGAACAACAATCTTTGCGCCCGAAGAAGCTGCTCGGGCGACGTGTGAAGCTGCACTATCGAGGTTTGCCTTCTTGTCAGAGCCAGAAGCGAGTTGGATAAGAGACAGCTTAACACGCTGCTTAAGAACTGGTTCAGTGATGGACGACATCTTGCGGGTGATGGAAGGGCTGCTTCGTTGGAATAGTGAGAACGGTGATGCTGAGGTCGTCAAGGATCGAGATGTTAGTGCGAGTCGGCCAAGGACAGTTCGCATCGTTTATGAGTAAAATCAGCAAGTTATCAAGATGGCGAAAGATATGGAAAGATTGATGAGGGTTGGTGCCGGCATCGGGGTACGAGTGATGTGATCCAATGGAAGTGGGGGTGGGGTCCATTACGAAATAGTACAGAGCTCTCGGGATGACGCGGGGCAAGAGGAGGAGATGCTATTCGTCAAAAGTTGTATTCATGATCGAGTTGACCATGAGACAACCATTGAATAGCCTACTGTTGCCACGATAATTTGAGAGACTATTTTAGGGGAACCACAGTGTTACTCAAGATGAGGAGATACCCATGAGCTACACAGAACCTCATATGAATTACTCAACAGTCGACGACCCTGGCAAATCGGTTCTATCCCAGGCGCTCTAGGCTTGATGTCGAGTATACGAGTTTAAAAAAACAGATCGGCACAGCTGCAAATGTCATATTTCGAGCAAAGTTCATTTATTAAGGAGTGAGATTAGCTGCCAATTGTTGCTCCTGTAGCAGCACAGCTTCATCCTCCAAACCAAAGACCAGAGTAAATCAAGTCAAGCCTCAAAACGAGTGACACCAGACAAATGCCGGCCATAACCAAAATCCCTCCATAGATAGATATCCACACCAATAAAAGCAAATCACATGGTATCTCAAACGATTGAGTGTGCACACTTGTATGTAGCCTGATACGGCTGTCCCCTCTTGTACATGTCCTGGAAGACATTTCTTAGCAAGACTGACCTTAGTCTGCCATGAGGTAGAGTGATCAAGAACGGCGACCATAGACACTGAAACCACTTGAGCCTCCGTGAGAACGGTCATGCTGGCCACCTCTGGACGGAGGAGGAGGTGGAGGAGTGGTGCCTCCCTGAACCTGGGGAGGGGAGGATCCTGTAGCGAGATAGCTGTAGGAAACCCGACGAAGTTTGGTTCCATGACAGGCCTGGCATAACCCACTGCTTCAGCGTCAGTAAAGCTGAGATACAATAGAGAGGATAGTGAACATACGACCCACGTTGGAAGGATCCAGCGCACAGATCACAGGTAATCCAAGTCATGCCTTCATCATCAAAGACATAGGAGGATAGAGAAGAAGCCATCGTAAGTGATGTCAGGAGTTGTTGCCGTTTGTGGTGCTTGAGTTTGGTAGTCAGTTGAGTTTCTTATTTTTCCAAATCTTTCATTGCAACATCAGGAAGGCCGATCTACATATATAGTCTCAACCTAGAGAGCATCAGCTTCGGCCATAGTATACATCAGACAGCCAATGCGACAGAGGCTATGTTCATCGTTCAGAACGGCCACCAACACACCGCCTCACAAACAGGACGAAGGCGTGAATTGACATGGAGCGTCATAACATGTCCGTCAGAGTTGGTAGCCGTTGTCAAGATGCCGGCTGCAACCGGGTCTTGTGATGGCGATCGGGTCAAGGATGCTTGGTTGCCTTAATCGGGCTCAAATCCCTAGACAATCTGTTTCGTGCCCGAACTCAACGGCGCTCATCTGAGCCGGGATGCAAATTCACATATCTGGGGTCCTGGGTTTGGGCCTCATTTCCAGACGCACATCCCTACACCAGCTCCTGTCGGCCCCGAACTACAGCACAGACTTGGCCGAATAGCTGCGATTTGTGGCTTCTGTACTTCATGCAACTCTCCTTCGGTCTGTACCAAGAGCGCCTCCTGGACCGCGTCGTCGGTGCTTATATGGAGGTAAAATGCCTCGAATTGTTGACCGGTTGCGGAGGTGTCCGGCAAATCACAATCCATGCTGACCAGCTCTGACGGTTTGCTGCATGATCGCAAGGTTGCGCCTCATACCCCGTGCTTTTGCGACGAACCAGGTTAAGCGGACTCTGTGACTTCGGCTGAACCCATGCAGCTTCGCGGGCATTAAAAGACGCCATTTCTCAAATAGCTGTGCTATTGCGTGCATGCCTAAGTAGTTGCAGCAGCCATCATATTACTTGCCCAACACCCCTAACAGATGCTGGAATTCTGGAAAGCGCTCATCTGGTGGGTGTCACATATGGACTCTGAGCGACAGACTGCTCGCGTCTCGTGGGGAGTCAGCTAGTAGCCTTGTTTGGAAGGGGGATGCAGAAGGCGATATATTCGCATCACCTGCGATCTTGATATCACGTTGATGTATAGTGCAGGTGTATGAAACCGAGATCCTGAGAGAATCCTAGTCTTAGCCATCATGTTGTGCCCATCCTGCCTCTTATCCGGTGCAACCTCCCGATGAGCGTCGGGCCTCTCCAACTGGCATAGTTCACCAGTTGACCGACTTTCCTGATGGCAGCCGCGTTTGTCGTTATTTGCTGCATCAAATGAGCCCAAAGGTTTTCCAAGAGACAGAACCAAGTACACGCAGCCACGACATCGTTGTCAACATGCCACTCTTGTACGCCCATCAATAACTCGACCGGTCAAAAGACATATGTTATCCATCGGTCAAGCCAAGACTGGAAATAAGGAAGGAAACAGTAAGCTTGCTGTGATCTTTCGATACGCAAAGTCATGCACCTCTTCGTTAGCTCTGCCTTTGTGTTACCCCCAACTACTTCAGCCCTTCTCTGTTGAGCCTACAAGTGTCTGCACACCAGCGCTTTGTAATCGGGAAAGTCATGGCCAACAGAAGCCTCGACCAATCTTGGCTGTCTTATCGATCAATGCCGTCTCTTGCCTTGGCTCGGCTTAAGATCTTGCAAGGACGAGACTATTCACAGTCTGACCACCCAATCCATCCCGCATCGTTGCTAATGGGTGATAACGGGTACATTATCCATTGCTAAGGAAAAGAATAGTCAAAGATAACAAGGTCGGAGACGTTGAGCCTGGGGTTGTTGCACAGATGGCCTTGCAGACACCTTTGCCGATTGAACAGGACACTTCTTATCCTGAGCCTCAAACCATGCACATTCACCGCGGCATGCTTGTTCGTACTCGATGATGTCTGAGCTCATCAAAAGACTGTCAGATGACCTCGACGCGGGAGACTTTTCGATCACCAATCAGAGAAGGTAAGCAATGACTCGAAAAGTAGTTTTTCTTATCTCTCTGATTGTATCTATCATTGTATCTCAGCCCCAAGATCGGTGATGTGTTGATTCAGAGAACATGAAAGTCGGCTGAACCATACCAGCATTTGGTCCTTGCTGTTATTGAAGGGGGTGGAGCCGTCAGGGGCTGTCGGCCAGACTCCGTTCTGTTTTGGAAGTCTGCAGTCAGTCCCAACAGGACCTGATGATTCAAGTATGATGACAGTGAAGAGAAAGAAATTCCTCCTCTTTTGAGGGTCACGTAGGATATGTCGTGTATGTCTCAAAACTTCCGAAGGTCTCGATGTCAACAGGCCATATTGAACCTCCAACGCCGTCACACGACAGTTGGACCTGCATCGGTGATATTTTCGTGAAATGATCTGATAATTCATTCAGAGTCGGTTTGAAATTGACGCAAGCAAGGGGTGACATTCTTCGCCTTGGAGACTGTGCAATAACTCCCAGTTAGTGCACGCAGATATACAACTCAGTGACAGAATGAGATCGTGATTCCGCGGACATAGACTTGCTGCTCAATAGACGGTTACTGCACTTGCAGCTGCTCTAACATCAGACTCTCGTCACTCCCTCCAGCATAACGCCCATTTTCCTGTAGCTGTGTTACAACAGCCCGACCACGCGAGAATGACAAGTTGACGTGACCAAAAATGGTTGGGTCAGTCATATCATCTGCCCTGTCAGGAGCTGTTGTTGATGCAAATGCTCTATGCGGTGGGCAGGCGGTGTTGCTGAACGAGCTGCAGAGACGGGTGATGGCATGAGCGAAATCACGATGAGCCTGTGCGACCAGTTACACAGACAAAGCCCGTCGCACAAATGACGCCCTTTTTAGACAGTATGTGTCTCGCAGTAGCTTGGCGAGGTTCTGCTAGAAATTTCTGGCCTTTTCGGACGTTCGGCTGAACTTGGTCTGCACGATCTTTGTGGTATGCACTTGCAAGTGTCCACATTGGGGCATAATAGTTTACAGACGCTGCCACGGATCAAGCCGGAAGCACGGAGAGAGCATCGTGGTAATACTTGGAGTATTCTTTAATGCTTGAGAATCAACTTTGGTGTTGACGTTCATGTCAGAGAACCCGTTGTTCAAGCTGGGTATGGAAGGGGGATGCGAGGCAGTATAGTACCGTTTAAATGCATAGCTTGGTTGTTGCATATCGTCTCCTTGCGAGTCGTTCTTCGCGGTGGAGACGGGAGGAGGCCTTCGAGTAGGGAATCGGAGCTTGGAACTTAATGAATCCTTTGTTTCTCGACCTTCCTGTACAGAAAAGTCCTGGGACAACTATCAAGACCATGAGCTGAGCATACGCGATTGATTCTCCGCCTTCAAAATGTCTGTTATTCTCTGCACAGGTAAATGCGACTTTGCTATCCACATATCCTCCAGTACAAGCTAACTCACCTCGCAGCTGGCTATGACCACACTATCAGGTGCGATCCGATGCGCTTCTCGACTGGTAATCGCAAATGGCTGACATGCAGCTTTTAGATTCTGGGAGGCCTTGTCGGGTATCTGTTCACGCACGATCCAACACCCTGATTCCCAGGTGAACCGCCTCTGCATCTCCCCCGACAAGCGATACCTTGCCGCCGCTGGCCATCATACCGTCAAGCTGTACGATATCAAGTCTACGAATCCTAACCCGTTGTTGACATTTGAGGGCCACACCGGGAATATCACAGGCGTCGCGTTCCACTGCGAGGGGAAATGGATGGTAACTAGCTCTGAGGACGGGACCGTCAAGATCTGGGAGACGCGGACCGGATCCATTCAGCGAAGCTACAACCATGGCTGCCCAGCCAACGACGTGGTGATTCACCCCAACCAGGGTGAGATCATCAGCTGCGACAGGTCTGGAAGTGTCAGGGTGTGGGATCTGGCTGAGAACAACTGTTCCCATGAGCTCATCCCAGAAGAGGACGTCTCAGTCTCCAGCGTTACTGTCGCTAGTGATGGGTCCTTGCTATGCGCTGCGAATAATGCTGTAAGCAACAATCAGAGGTGCTGGAAATTAATCTCTAATCATTTCGCTAGGGCAACGTATTTGTGTGGAATCTTATTCAGAGCTTTGATCGCACACAGTTAGTGCCGGTAACACACTTCAATGCCCACAAGGAATACATCACCCGTATTCTTCTATCCCCAGACGTCAAGAAACTCGCCACTTGTAGTGCAGACCATACAGCCAAGATCTGGGAGGTGAAGAACATCGAACCAAGCACAGATCTAGAACCCAAGCCGTATCCCTTAGAAGCCACTCTTACCGGGCACCAGCGCTGGGTCTGGGATTGTGCCTTCAGCGCCGATTCTGCATACCTGGTCACTGCTTGCTCCGATCACTATGCGAGATTGTGGGAATTGCATAGCCAGCAGATTATCCGACAATACAATGGACATCACAGAGGGGCTGTCTGCGTTGCCTTGAACGATTACTCAGAAACACGATAAAGGGGTTATATGGAGCACGGTATATCACTAGATTCATGCCAGGTTGGCGGGAGAATGGCGTTGGTACGATATTTTCAACAAGGTTCGGATATTACTGTTTGAGGATTGAAGTTTCGATACGGACATGTGCCCTAGATAGTAAAATGCACCCATTTGTCAACAGAAATCACATTGCAAGCCCCTGGAGCATGACATCAAGTATGTGGCAGTGAAGAGGCAATAATGCTGGCCAACTCCGAATATGGAATGATGAAACAGATCTTACATGATTTCATCTTGGTACACAATGTATTCACAAAGGGATCCAATCTGTTTACAGTTTCAATTGCTCACGTTTAAGTTATGCCGCTGGTAAATTCCAAGGCCTTCAAAACATTCGTGTAGGTAATAAGGTCGCTAGCTAGACAGGCAGCCTCACAGTTCTTAGAAATCCTCCTTGTCAAAACGCTCCTTGGCATTCTGCTTAGCCTCGTCGGAGACGTTGGGGCTGTTCAGGGTACTATTGCTATCAGCCGGTAGTCAAGTCTAAGAAACGTTGGAACTTACGCCTTGAGACCACCAGCAACATTGCCAGGGTTCTT